AATTGATGCTCAAATAATTATAGTAAATAATTAAAATGAACATTTAATGTTCCCCTAAGATATATAGTGTCCTTGAATTCTTAATAGCTGAAAATATAAAATTTTAACAGTCTTTTTAAAATAGAGTCAAGTGCTTTATTTTTCTTTGCATTTGAGAACAGGGCTTTGCAAAATCTAGTCACATTCCTTAAGATCCCTGGATTCTCCTTCAAGCAATCTATAATAATAAAAGCCTAATATGCTAATTAGACAGGACATCCTTTGGGATGAAGCCAGGGCTGCAGGTCCCCGGAGCCTGCCAACAGCTGGAGGGAAGCCCGGATCCCAGGTGCCACCGGGAAGCCGGTGCCGGCAGCCAGGGGAAGGAAGGCCTACTCCTGCACGAATATTGTGCATTGGGCCTCTAGTCTATATATATAAAAGCCTAAGCAACTAGCCGACCAGTAGGTATGATGTGTGCACTGACCACCAGGGGGCAGACGCTCAATGTAGGAGCTGCCGAGTTACAGTGACTTGGGCAGCAGTGATTCTCGGGTGACGTACCCTGACACTAGAGAGGAGGGAGCCCGATTCCTCGTGGGGCCACGCAATTCCAACTTTGGCCGTGGGTTATGTTGTTGCTGGGGCACTGTTTGCCCCGAATCTGGTTTACTGCACACGTGCGTTTGCATTCCACACAGCAACTTTGCAGAGTGCCTTCTCGCACTCCAGGAGCCCTCAGGGGATGTTAGAGAGCCGGTTTTGGCCCGATCCCCATAGGCCAGACTGAAAGACCCTACCAACCGGAGAGACCCCACTCACTCCGCAGACACCTTTTGAGCTACAGCGCAACCCCAGGTGCAGCCGGCCGGGAGGGACCAAGGGAGATTGGCTCCAGGGTGTGTCCAGCCTGTCTCACCCAGTCCCACCCCACCAGCCACCTTCTAATTAATTTCCTTTCAATGTACATGAATCCATGCACCAGGTCACTAGTAGTATAATGTATAGGCTTAGTGCAAGATGTCAACAAGTTTGTGTTTCTTTTAGCCTAAAACACTGGGAACCTGCCAGGGTTCTTGTTCCAGCATTAAGAAAGGTTCAGGAAATCTGGAGAAGGCTGTGCGTAGATTAAATAGGAGACCAGAGATGAAATATAATTTTGAAAGGCATTTGGGGGTCAGAGGAGCCTAGTTTAAAGAAAACTAAGATCTCCTCGTCTCAGGACCCCATGCTTTTTATTAACACAAATTGTCCTGAGGTGAGGCAGAGATATACACTTCAAAAGGGTTTCATATACAGAGGCATTGTCAGAATGGAAAGAATTAGCCTACGGCTGTTCAGGTGTTTGGCCAGTAGGAGGCAATAACATGTAGATTAAGATGCTCTGAGCTGTCTGGCAGTAAACAATCAATTTAATGTATCCTATTCAGGTTTGGGGAAATGCCAACAGCCATTCCCAGATTCAGCCGTGCTGTCATGCTGGAATTGGCTTCCAGCAGAACCCTTAGTGGACATGCATTGTTTTATCAGCCCAAAACCTTCCCTCTCTTGTTCTGTACAAACTCCCAGCTCCCACCACACTGTTCCAAGCACATCTGTCTACAGGCCCCTGTACAGCAAGACGCACATTTACTCATGTTGAACCCAACACCTACTGTACAACATCCTGGTGTTCACACGACAGCCATGTCTGACAAAAGAATGAACCAATTGATAGTGCCTTTGCTTCGCTGGAAGTAATAATGCACAAGTTTGTAGAGGCAAGACTACTCATAAGTGGGTTACCCCAACCTTCCATCTCACCCCCATGCAGCCTCAACCAGCTCCTGGCCCAGCTCCAGATCCCCACCACACAACACCTGAGGAGTAATGTCAGGCACTCTCAGACCTGCTCCAGCATTCAAGGTGACAGGTTCTGGTTGGTCCATACTCACACCTGACTAACTTTAACATCCTCCTTCGTGATATGCCAGTGAGAGGTGATGCCACCTCTCACACACACTTGTCACACAACTGGGCAAGAACAACAGATCTCCTCCTTTTTTTCTTTTGATGGCCCCCAGAAGTGTCCACTTGCACATGTGACATGGCCACCCCATTAGGACCACTGAGAATATGTATAGCTAACAAAGGGTTAGGGCAGTGGTCGGCAAACTGTGGCTCATGGGCCACATGCGGCTCTTTGGCCCCTTGAGTGTGGCTCTTCCACAAAATACTGACTTCTGCACATGGGCCACAAAGTTTCAATTGCACTGTACATGCACACCCGCACGTGGTATTTTGTGGAAGAGCCACACTCAAGGGGCCAAAGAGCCGCATGCGGCTCACGAGCCACAGTTTGCCGAACACTGGGTTAGGGACACTGCCAACAAACCCAAATCACCATTCTGTTGGCAAGTAAGAAGGGAAGGCAACTTAACAGTTTCTGTCAACCTTCCTGCAAAGAAAATCTTTTTTCCATAGGTACCCAAAATTGATTCCAACTGCAAGCAACCAAGAACTGTACTTGATATTCAAGGGTGACAGAATATCAAATGGAGACTGGCAGAACAATGGATCAAGAGTCGCAAGCATGTTAGCACATGAGGGTTAACAGAATTCGCCAAAATCGTTTCAATGGAGGGTTGGGACAGGAGACCCATTGCAGAGAATTCATAAGTAATTTCAAGATAGAGATGGGCAAACATAGACTTCAACAGGAAGCAGGGGATTGGTTCATAGTCAAAGGCAGTTCTTTGTCTTGTTTTAAGATGCTAAATACCTGCACAAAGGAAAGTGAGTGATAACAGCAAAGCAGAAGTTAACAATCTAGGAAGGAGATGGAATAACATGAAGACCTGAGAAGCGATGAGAAAAGGCAGTCAGGGGTCCCTGGCACATGCCTACACTGCTGGAACTATCTCCCTTTGCCCAGGCTGGCCCTCAGCCAAGGGTGCCATTTCCTGCATCTAACCTGGACCTCTCCTTCAGGAATCACCTACAGGAGGAATGAGCAGTGGTCTGGTTGAGACCTAGATTGTGGCCCCAGCTGCAGAAGTGAATGCTCAAGCATTTCCTTTGTCCTTCTGGGAGCTTTAATTTTTCTTACTTGACTTGATCCAGAAATCTTTATAGTATGCTTTTAAGTCTTGATTTCTATAATTCTTAATTTCCCCCATCATAACTTTTCTTAAGTTCAAAAGATTCCTTCTTTATTCTCCAATTTCCTCCTTATTCTTATTTCCCAAAATAAACTACCTTACCTGACATTTTTTACTCATTAACGTATATCACAGTTTTTCATATATATATTTTCTCTTCTACTAAACCACAAACATGAGGGCAAGAAGAAAATAGGCATTAATGGTACTAAACCACAGGTGGGCAGTGGTGGTGGGTCTCCACTGTATATCCCTCTAGCTTTATCCTACATAATAAAAGAGAAACATATACATTGACCGTCCCTCCACTATATTCACCAGCCAATCAGGAGTGAGTATGCAAATTAACCCAACAAAGATGGTGGGTTAATTTGCATGCACAGGCGCCAGGCAGAGAGTGAAGCGGCTTGGGGAAATTGGCTCCCCAAGCCACCAGACGGAGAGCAGAGAGGGAGAGCTTGGCAGAGTGGGAGGCCATGGGATGGAGACAGAGCAGGAAGTGAAAACCAAGATCATGGGGAGCACCAGAAATTCTGGGAATAGTACTTTTGGTGGCAGACGGACCTTCTAGACATTAGAGCAAAGTGAGCCTGGAGCAAGTTCTGTTGCGGTGCGGGAATGAAGCGAAAGCAAAGGTGAGGGACATAAGTAAAATCAGAGTGTCTAGGAAAAATTAAAGGGAAGATAACCTAAAACTTCCAGGAAATCTCCACCAATGAAGCAAAGAAAAAAAAAAGCCTCTATTATT